TGTGTTCGACTTTGATAATCTCAAGGATGAACAGATAGAAGTGATGCAAGCCTTGTTGAGAGACCACAAAGATGTCTTTTATGCATTCCCAACGGGTAAGGGTAAGATGATATTATTTTTGCGCGAGGCGTGGTATGGTATTCCGACTAATTCCCTACTTGAGGAAGTTTGTTATGAATACAGTGAGTGGCAATAATAATGATTATAATGATATATCTATATTGAAAATAGAGTAATAATAATGGGATTTTACGCGTTGAACGTGAAGTATTTGAAAGTACGTGAAGTGCACCTCGTGAGTATTTACTGTGCTACTATAGTTAGTGTAGTGTGTTCAATGTAGTAGTAGTAGTACTACTACTGTGTACTACAGCATTGTCTATTGAACGCACCGTATTGTTGTTATTGTCAGGTGGTGGTAAGTCGCTATGTTATCAGCTACCAGCACTAGCATCATCTAGGCCGGGGTTTGCCCTCATAGTGAGCCCACTCATTGCACTAATGCAAGACCAACTACAGAAGCTGCGTGGGGTCCTCACTAACAGTTTTAATGATACTCGAAGTGAGGTGGCAATTTCGTGGCGCAGTGACGGTAGATGCTGATATCAGATCGATTCGGCCCTTCTGCATGTGCGGTGTTGAATTCCTCCATCACTCCTGCTGAGAAAGAAGTCCTCCTTGAAGACCTTCAGCTGGAGACGCCTGCAACTCGTATTGTGTAAGCGTGTTGGCAAACTCAATACATGGTGAACCGAACAGTTATGCATATCTACAATTTCGAGACTACGACTACGGACTACGAAACGCTTCTATAGTGTTGATGTCAAGTCATATTGTTATCATGTTGACTTTCACTCTTTATCACTTGTTATCACTTGTTATCACTTGTTATCACTTGTTATCACTCTCAGAAAATTGAAGGTTTTGAAGATACCGGTTTGGTTCACAATGTAGGTATATAACGCCTGAACAAATATCATCAGAAGTATTCAAAAATAACATCCTACAGAGAGTAGCGGCCAACAACACTCTCCTGTATGTTGCCATAGATGAAGCCCATTGTATTTCGCAATGGGGTCATGACTTCCGACCGGCTTATAGGTAACAACACTTTAGGAATTTCGTGGCGCGTGACGTTTTTTGACCATTGTTAGACGTCTGCAAATCTTCCGAAATTTGTGCCCGAATGTACCACTGTTGGCGTGTACGGCTACTTCAACGCCCAAGGTCAGAGACGATGTCATCAAAAGCTTGGGTAAGGACTTATACCATCACTTTACTTCTTAAGCCCATCACTTTACTTCTTAAGCCCATCACTTTACTTCTTAAGCCCATCACTTTACTTCTTAAGCCCATCACTTTACTTCTTAAGCCCATCACTTTACTTCTTAAGCCCATCACTTTACTTCTTAAGCCCATCACTTTACTTCTTAAGCCCATCAGTTTACTTCTTAA